ATGGCGCAATGATATTACAGGGTCCTTTCATCAACGTTAGAACTAGGATGATTTACAATAATACAGCAAAAATATTTGTCGTGATATTTTGGAGTCATTTTTCAGCGTTGAATATGGAACTGGGGTCATATTTATAATGACATAGAAAGAAAGAGAGAAAGGCGTGTTATGATATTCTTGGGCCCTCTTTCAGCGTTGAATGTGGAAACGAGATCATATTTATAATGACATAGAAAGAAAGAAAGAAAGGTGCGTTATGATATTAAATTTTTTAGCGTTGAATGAAACTGTGATATAATCCAATAATGAGATACGGTTTGGGGACCTAGGGACAAATATAAATATAGTTACAGGGTGGGAATACCTATTATAACAATTGGAGTAAGACTCAATAGGTCAGTAATGTCCACGGGTAATATCTGGAATCAGAGGGTATTCGTACCTCCGTTTCAACCAAATGTAACTTTAATACAATACAGCTTATTAAAGTGTGGAACATATAATGACATGACACCTGACCTATTAAGCTCACGAAACACTATATATTACGCTATCTATGAGACGATACATCTTGTGAGCTTGGCTAAAATATATTGCAAATTGGGTTCGATCATTAAAACATTATATATTATTATTATTTGGCTTCCATGCAGTGTTTAAAATCTTAAAACCTGGACAGTGCTGCCTTATTGTAAAAAGATGAGCCCTGATACCTAAGTAAAAGTCACAAATGATTAACAAATAGTATTTGTCCTTTATACAATTTTAGTCACGTGATGTACAAACCCTATCTGCTAACGTTATTATAGCGCAGAGTACTGCCCTGTCTTAGTATTTAACTTTAAATTGCCACTACGAAATTTACCTATTACCTGTCGATGTCTTAAATCCATAATGTTAGTTTATTCGTTAGAGCTTATGTTATTGAATAAAACAACAAACACAAGATTGCAGGTTATGGCCATGGTGTTTATTTTGCCAAGGAGCATTAAGATCTGCGCACGGGTGTCAAAGCCCGTACATCAAGCAAGAGGGCGTCAATTACTGCCCACACGTCAATCAAGAAGGGGGTCAATTACTGCCTACACATCAATCAAGAAGGGGTCAATTACCACCCATACATAAATCAAAGGGGGCGTCAATTACTGCCCACACGTCAATCAAGAAGGGGGTCAATTACTGCCCACACATCAATCAAGAAGGGGGTCAATTATCACCCATACATAAATCAAAGGGTCGTCAAAACATGTATACCAGTACAATCAAAATGCAAATAGAGTGAAAATTACCAGTACAGTGGAACAAATATATAACAAAGATACCATTATTCGAAACATTTTGTGATCAAGGGGTGACCAATGATCATCAAATATTTAGTAAATTTAACTTCAATTATAATTCTCTACTGCACTGATGTTAGCGAAGTCCTGCCATTTTAATCAAATACTGAATATATACAAACCAGGAACAGTTTCAACATCTAGAAAGGAACAGTCCATCGATATGTTTTGCCATACTAACTGAAAAGCACAAGTTCATAAATGTATCATCTGCATCACACAACCACTTTCCTTCAATCATGCCAAGGCTTCAACATCGACTCTGGAAGAAAAGTAAACCTGGCACAGAATCTATTCAAAATGAAGGGGTAGGGTGGGAGGGTTTCCCATTGTTCACCGTGACAAAACCGAAATGAAAGGTCGTTTCCGGTCTAAGAGCGCTGAACATTAACGAGTGGATGAAGGGAGGTAACTCGCGTTGGAAATCAAAATTATTAAATAGTTGTTCCTTAGATAACCCAAGTTATTATTAAATGTTAATAACCTGTATTAATGTATGGTTTCCATTTCCCTGTCAATTCCCTGTTATCAATGAAGATTTACTCATCAGTTTTGTTACTTATTGTAAACATTCCCTTAACTTCAAATATGAAACTATTAAATTGTATTTAGCCGGCATACGCTTTCATTATATCAAGAATAAATTTGGTAACCCTCTAGACAAGACTCTCAGATTAACATATATTTTGCGTGCAATTAGAAAGACTAATTCTTCTACTCAACGTCTTCCTATTACGTGTTCTATATTAGCCCAGATGTGTGCAGCTTTTCATACAAGTTGTTTGTACAGTCCTTTCCTTGATCTTATGTTGTTATGCGTTTTTAAAACAGCTTTTTATGTTTGGTGAGTTCACTTGCAAGTCACATACGGACTCCAAGCTTTTACGTTTGTGTGATGTCTAATGACTTGTCTTTTTTCAAGCTTCATTTGCGTACCTCCAAGAATGACCCTTCTGGAAAGGGAGTTACTATAACAATATTTGAAAAGGACATCTTGTCCCCGATAGCCACTATGAACACTTATATTAGAAGGAGGATGTCTCTAGATGCCACTCCTTAGTCTCCGCTGTTTCTAGATAATTGCTAATAAGGTAGACCTTTAATGCGTCATACTTTTTTGTCCTATTTGAGTGAAACTGTTGCCCGTATTGGCTTAGACGACCATTCTTTTACGGGCCATTCTTTTCGTATAGGCGCAAGTACCTCTGCAGCAGCTGCTGGTGTCGAGGACCATGTAATCCAAGCCTTGGGCAGATGGTCATCCGATTGTTTCAATAGATATATTAGAATTAGCCCCATGTCGACCCAGAAAGTTCAAAAGGATATGACTGCCATTCTTAGTTCAGGTGTTTTCATCCAGTAGTTGGTTACTTTCTGGTGTTAGTTTTAGCCCTAATAGTTAAAAGTCTGGTTTTGTTATCTGCTTATAATTATTTTCACTTTTATTTTTCTACATCCATATATGTATTTTACCTACTTCAATCATGTATTGTTAGCTTACATGTATACTATATTGTACAATGTAAACTTAACATTTCACAGCTAATCATGTCATTGATTTCTTATCGCTATCTTTTATAATTCATTGGGGGCGCTCACTCTCATGTGTAACATAATCGTTCCTTATGGGCTATTAAATTCTTGGGAAATTTCACCCACAATCTCATAATGAATAGTCTTGTACAGATATGACTCAGCTTCTCTTATATCACTGAGGGCCTAGCGGGACATGTTCAGCTGCTCTAAGATAATTAAAGGCTTAGCTAGCACAAGAGTATCGTCTATTCGTGAACAGGATATTCTTTACAAGTATGTTTCAAAGCTTCTCTCTAATCATTGAGGGCCTAGCCAGACATAATCAGCTTCTCTCATATCTTTGAGGGCATAGCTGGTGCTTGAGTATAATCTATATTCATTTATCCCGGCTTTCCTATTTTCATCGATAAGCTTCTTCAGTTTTATTAAAAATTTTAATTAATACACTAAGATTGTAGTATACAGTGAGCAGCCCCTAATATGCCAAAATTATCTGTATTCTTTGCATAAGTGGTAAATAAACTATGTACTGTACTCTGTAACGTGCGTTATTTGTATATAAAGTGCGGAATCACAACTGTATCCGTGCTTTGACCCCCAGGATAGGACCCTTCCGGTAGGGGCTGACCCTGGATTAAATTCTGAAGTCATGCGTGTACGTCTCTCCATTCCTCACGAATGCATATGAAGTTATATAATGAAGATCTAAACTGTTTTCACTAGCTGTCCCACGGGCTAATACCCACGGGGCTTGGGGGACACCAGGGTAAATTCTCAGGTCATCAGTGTGCTCTTCTCCCCATCCCTAAAAAGATATATATAGTTATGCAGTGAAGATCTTAACTGTTTCCATGCGGTGACCTCCATGGCTAAAACCCGAGAGACTAGGAGTATGACTCCCGGGTACAGACCGGTGGGACCAGGGAGAAACCCTGGATCAATTCTGGACGCATGTCGTATATTAATGTGTTATTATGTTTAAGACAATGTTAGAGACATTGAGTTAACTTATCAACAGGGTCCATTTTCAACAAATGGTAAAACTAATTTTAATAAGGTTCCATTTTCCACGGTTAGCCGGTTTCATTTGCAACGTTGAAAATGGACCCTGGGTTCATGATCAATGCAGGTCCAATTCTAACGTTACCTCGACACTGTATCAGTAGGAATCTGGGTTCAGCGCCCAGCTAGGACCCGTAATATTTTTTTTTTTATTACCAAATGGAAACATCTCACAAATAATTCCTAGTACACAATTGTCCCACCGTTTAGGCTTATTTCTATTAAATACTTATCTTGACGACTGCGAATTGACTTTTCATGAAAGTATATGACCACTTCCAGCTCTCCAGATAAGATGGCTGTTTTGACATAAAAGTATGTACAAGCATGTACATCATATCCTCTCTTAGATACTAGGACATGCATCCATATAATATGTGTTTAATGTTCAGTGGATTATATATATATATATTCAAAGTTAGTTTATTCTGTAGGACTAAAATACAAAAATCAAGAGATAAAAATTCCGTTGTTTTATTGGTAAATGATGGTTAAAATCTTATATAGGAATTAAATGTTGATATCATGTAAGATGTCTTGTTACAATCTATACTTTGTCTATTGCAGATTTCATAACATTAACATAGGAAAATTCCTCTTTCCGGACGGCATTGAGACAATAGTTCTATCGGAATGTCTTGAAAAGTTTCTCACATTTTCATTTCAGTGACACGCACACCACTTAAAAACAGAACTAAAACAAGGAGATTATATAAATCAATCTTATTTAGGACAAAGTATGATTGTTGTACCACGTAGAAACTTTAACAAATATTACATGACCAATAAGGCCATCCCACACGGGATAGAGACGATGAAGTTCTAAGTATACATTAGAGCATTCAGCCGAGTATCTAACACGATGGAGGTTAATATAACAGCGCATGAAGATAGCGCTTACTACACATATATGATACAAAGTTTGAATTTTCATCAGATGGACAAGGCCTCTTTCCTTGGTTCGTCTATATGATTGGATAAATGCTGAGCTATGTCTTCATGAATATCGCGAGCACCTCTGCGACAACGGTATCTGAATAAATAAATGTTCGTTGCTTTATTTCATGTGTACAAGTATACAAAATCACATAACAATATATGTGTAACAGACTTCTATATCCTAACAAATGTACGTACACTTCTTACGTTTTGTAAAAGTTCCCAAAAGGCAGTACATTGTTCTCAACACATGATAGTGTAAGTGTTGATGATAGCAATAAAATGAAGTGGGACGATGTGTGTCTTTGTAATTCGTTAGTTTTATTCACTTGGCCTAAGTTACGAACCATTTATACAGTATGAAATTTTTAATAATAACTTATTTTTCCTTCTGTAGAAATAAACCTTGCTGTACTTCTTGAAGTGTTTCTTTTTGTTTTGTAACCTTATGCTAGCAAGCGATACACCCAGCTGAACACGAAATACAGTAGTGTACTCCGTGTTATGAAAAAACAAAAGTTTGCTTTGTCAATTAAAGCAGCGTTTGCACTTTGAGACCAAGAAACACAGCATATGATCAGAATCACAATCTGAAAACAACAACATTTGGTAATAGCGGCGTTATTGTTTGGAGCTGTGTTTCTCTAAACCGTGAGCTTTGCTTGCATATCCTTGATGAACATACCTAATAAAAGGAACCCATTGACCAGTCAATGTTCTTGTCAAAGCAACATGTTTTGGTGATTTGATGACGTATCTGCTAGCAAGAGACAATCGAAATCGACCTCTTTAACACTTCGGGAAAACTTTGTTAAGTACATCTTTTCAAAATGATACATCACATCCGGTTTTGTAAATCTCTTCTCCTATCGAGTATGTCCAGTTTCGTAGATGTCTAAAAGCATTGCGTTGTACTCTGTTGAGTTGTCATTGAATACTTATCTCAAATAAAGCGAACAAAATGAAGTCCACTCTAAGATATGGGCGGTCCCCACCTTATGGCCAAGTGAATATTAATCACGATCTGTGTGAGTGTTGATGAGCATTTGGGTCAGACAGCGAAGTTGAAATAATATAATGCCGAGTGCTGTTAAGTGTTTTTGAGATCAAATGTTAAAACAGTAAATTGAATTTTTAAAAAAATGTATTAACACACCTGTTCCAACTATGCCTGATTGATTGTTCGATGAATACATGAATTTAGGATAGGCCACAGCAGTGTCATAGAAACAAACTCCTTGTCCGTCCATAATTTGAACCCATCCGATGTCGTTACGACAACTAGCGTAACTTTTATGAATATAAAATCTCCGGCTTGCACTGCAAAAAGCGAACACAATCACTGTTATTTTAAACTACATTGAAAGAAAGCTGTACCGGCAGCATTAAACGCACTTGACTTACCTCATAGATACCTTACAAATATTTTTGATGAAATTTGCGAACAGTTACAAAATATGAAATTTGTTACATGCTAAACGTTATTAACATAATGAGGTAAATCCATATAATGAACAGGTAAACAAACAATAATAAATCAATGACAATAAATCATTTTCAAATATCTATTAAATACTTACTTTGGACCTGAGAGGGAGAAGACTCTGATCTTGGAAGTCGTTGTTAAATCTGTAAATGAAGTGGATAGAAGCCTCTCCTTTGAAAACCACGACGTTAAATCCGAATCCGTAGCATTAAGTATAATATAGACCACTTCAATACCAGAAGTGTACAGTGAAAATTTTACCTGAAAATAAAATAAATGCGGTAGGATGTATCTGATAAAATGTAGACGTATACACAGACACCATCACCAGAAACAATCTTCTCTATTTGTTTGGTAATAAAGTTAAACATTGAAATTTGAAAAAAAAGACCGAAAAAAAAAACAAAGAAAAAAAAAGACCGAAAATCTAGGACCAGTAAAACAAATGACCGTTATATGGAAGCGCATTGTATCGTACACCAACATAAAAATTTACTTTTGAGATTTTAATTTCAAATACTACATCGAGAAAAACATACCAGATATCTTTAAAGGTAACTGTTTGACTTTGATTTCATCATTGCAATTTATAATCACCTGAGTGGGATTGAGTGTTTCCCACACGTCGATAAGGCCACTCCGGAAGTGACGTGTACACACACTTGATGTATTGGTTTCTTTACACTCGTCAGGCATGTTTGCATCACGATTGTCATCCCGTCCTGTCTCTGTCCACGTGCTCAGTACTGATTCACTGTTTCCACTTCCGAACCTAGCCAGCAATATCCAGCCCGAGGAGTCAGTCCGATCTTAATTGAAATTTTATTTATCTTACTGCCCGTAGGGTTAAGGTGGTCGGATTGACTTGTACTTAATTGACGATGGTAGCCTCACAGATTTACGATACCAGGAAGAAATCCTTCATCCAAATGTAAGACCCTTTGCAGTTGCTTTCAGCTCTGAGTTTGTACTGATGGACGACAATGTTCGACCACCTGGAGTTATACTTATTAATGAATACCTTCAACTATCGAGCTAATTGGCTGGCCTAGACTATCACCCGTCCTTATCCTATCAAGCAAGCGTGAGACATGTTAAATTTAACGCATTAAAAAAAATGCCTGCGGCAGAAGACTTTAACCTTGAGAGTTATGAACTTTTTTATGTAATCATACCTGACACGCTTGAATAAAATTGATTCCAAGCGGGTCGAAGTTGTTCAAATGATCCCTAAATTTTGTGTCCAGTCTTGAATAAAATAAAAACAATGCTTAAAAATATCAAAATATTGTTACGTCAACAAATTTAGTTTTCTGACAGAAGATCACAAACAAGGGAGGCTATCTAGAAAGGAATATTTTACAGAGACAATTAGAAAATTACGAAGGAAATATGTGTTTAAGAAGAGTAAACATTTTATATAATAAATAGAACGTCATTGTTACCACAGTGTTTATACCTCGTAGATAATGGATTCACAGCATAACTATGTGGGTTTTTTTTTCAAATTATTTCATTCACTGCAATGTAGTTGGATACTAGCAATGGTTGATGTCTAAAAGTTTACCTTGAGTTTAGAATGCTTCAGAGACGGAAAATACATTTATCATACGAGGAAGAATGCACGACATATAATTGCTGCACATTTACATAATGGTACCAAGTTACTCAAATGATATTACACCTCTCGTGGTTTAGATTTTAAATATAATCGTTAAACTATTCAGTATCATAATTGTATTTCTATTATTATTATAACATACCAAAGTTTGGATAGACCAGTAGAATGCTACAAATTACAAAAAAAAAAAAAAAAAACTGCACCCAAAGCTCGAATTTAAGCTAAGGAAACAGAATGCTTCACACTATTACATTTGAAAAAAAAAGACTATGATAATAAGATACAACTTAGGCGTATTCTACGTCATCATGTTATCAAATTACAAAAAGATAATATGATGGAAGTAACTAAAGATTACCAGGCAATACATCTATCTGAAAGGATGTAACACTTGACGACCTTTTATATCTGAAAATAAGATAATCCTTGTTTTCGTGTATTTTTAATAAATTCGCCATTTCGTTTCAATGACTTTAACTCGGGTGTAAAAATAGCCATTTCCCGTATGGGATGACAAAGAGAGGAAAATTAACTGTCCATTATACCACATTACTAACACGTTTGTGTAAGTGTCTTTGAGTTCTATATCTGCCATCGGGATCGTACATTCGTGAATTCCTATGACTATATAAGCAGCTACAAATTAACACTCTTGAATTCTAGACGCAAAGGTGTTATATATATATATATATTTCATGGCTTCCGTAACGCAACTAGGAGTGATACACCACACAATTCATTCCATTTGATGTGTGGCACCGAATTAGTAAAGTAATTCAGATTGAGATGCATTAGAGTCAAACAAGAAAATAAACTGCATCATACAGCTGTTTCGTCCTTCTAGCACTAGTCAGTGAGGCTAAAGGCCTAATTTTTGAAGCCAAGGGGGCGACTAAGCAAAAGCCATACTGATCAAAAGAAAAGTTAAAATCTAGACGGGGATGGGGTGGGGGGAAGGGGGGAGGGATGGAGCAATCCAATAAATAAATGCATTTCGTAATTTAAATATATCAGACTATTTTAGAATAGCATCAAATACATGTGTATATTCTGAACCGTGCTACTAATCGAGTGAATTGAAATGTGGCATGAACATTACGGCAAACCTCGGGGACACCAGCAGTATCTACCACCTGCTATCTTAAAGATAAAGATTGTAAAAAAGACACACAAGTAAATAGCACCTTTTCATAGGAGGTTTGATATCCGTTTGACATCATCAATAATACATCGGTTTGTTTGGATTTGACACTAATTTTGTAAATATCTATTAGATTGAACAACATTGTAACAAACATCAACTGTCTTTTATATCTTTAGAATTGTATCTAGTAGATTGATGTGACGATTCGATGGTCATTGTCTTAAATTCACAACAGTTTTTTATCTGATATACCAAAGACTTATGACAAAAACTAAATGCGATACCATTGTCTAAACTCACGACAATAACTAGATGAGATGTCCCATTGGCCGTTTCCCATGCAAGTCACATTAGCATCATTCCCTCTCGCCTCGTAACCAGTTTTACAAGTTGCCTGGAAACCCTGTCCAACAGAGCCATGTTCCATCGAAGCTATGACACCTAGCAGAGGTCGATTCATGCATTCTGTTAGGAAGAAGTGATAATACTTACAGGCAGTTTCATTTTCTAAAGATTTGTGCTTTTAAAAGAGATTCAATATAAGTTATATTTTCAACTTCTTTTTCGCACTTTTATTCTTGGTTGCATACTCAAAAGTAGAGAAAAAGTAGTTCCTCTCAAAATATTACAATATTCAACGTAAAAAACACAGCATTTATAAGCAACGAATGTTTTATGAACTTCATGGTTTATAAACTGCCAGCCCGTATAGATTGTAAGGTAATTTCAGTCTGGCTTATGTGCTCTGCAGTTATAATGATATTCTCAGTTATCGTATTCATAATTGTATATATAAAAAGTATACAATTTCAGTTTAACCATGATTGATAATGTTACAGTGTAAATGACGTTATCGTTTTTACGGGATACGTTGCTGTTAGACAAGTAATATAACGCGTTTGTTCCCTTAGTATATTTACCTGTAACAACACATATCGTTGTTGATGTAAATTCGAAACATTTTTGTCCCGCAGAGCATGTTGATCTGGTACAGTTTCCTGAGAACTGTCTCAAAGAAAATGTAAACAAGGTTGAGGTACATATCCTAGAACACAATTAGTGAAAAGGTGGTCTTCGTTGTTTTAATAAAAGATTGAAGAAAAAAATATAACAAAAGTCAGGGTTATTTTATCTACTAAATTATTTTTGACATTATATATTGTAATACAATGAAAAGTAATCGCCTTCCCCCACTATTTTCGAGGGCTTCTATGTTTTACTTTTTCCGAGATGCTCCATTTTTCGCTATTTTCAATGGGTTCTTTTTTTGCGATTAGGGGTTCTATTAATCACTACTTTCGAGATGTTCCATTTTCCGCTATTTTCGATACAGGACATGTTCTAAATACCGTTTGGAAGTACAATGTATAGAAACGTTGACATCGATGATGCATCTGTGTCGAGAAATCTTGTGCATCATCCGTTAAAAATGATTAGAAAATGCTACTGTTGGTATGTTGACTTTTCTGATCGAATTTATTGGCCAACAGAAAAACAAAATATAACTACGTGGATCTATCAATAAGTGATAGTTCACATGTCTACTTAAATATTCACTTCTGATCAAGTCGCTGTTTACACCTATAATACTACAAAGAAAGACAAGGTACCCCCATCTAAGATCCAAATATCTGTTCTGTAAACTTTTAGAATTCTCAAGGGTGCATTGTAGGAGATGTTTATGTATAATGTCTCAGACCTTGGTATGAAAACTCGCATTTAAAGGAATGATTTTTAGATGTAGAACAATGTTACTAATTAGTGTATACTCCTTTCAATACAAAGCAACATTGCTATCACTATAATGTTGATCAAAATAGACCGTAAGTTTTGATGACCGGTAAAGACTACGAGTGTTTTATCGATTATGACATGACTTTAGAATATGCTTTAACGATCAATACATTTATTAATAAGACACTCAAATCATGAAATATTGATTAGGATGCAGCTGATAACAACATCGTATTTACCCAATTACCTCTTAGATGGTTATCGTTACTTTGAATTCTCATGGTACAGAAATAACTTTGTTTTTTTTATTGCTACTTGACAACAAATGTAGAATAACTATCATCTAACAAAATAACACAGATGATGTTTTGTTGTACTTTTTTCTTCATGACCCCAAAATTAAGTATGCTATATCGCATTAAGTCTGCCTTGTACAATAATAACCCATGATATTTGTCGTAGGAAACAATGTGATAAATTAGAAGCACGTAATAGTAAATACTAGGCTTTCCTGGAAAAATCTACCGAATTAAGTACGCAAAGTATTTTCAAATGACATATAACAGTAATTGGACGGAATGTACATGTACATATACTTAAAAAAATGTTGGGCATTGGTTCCAGTAGTATTAATGTTCAACTATCATTAAATAATAATATTTAACATCGTTATCATAGATGGAGTCACTTGTAATAGGTCTCTCTTTATGGTGCAGTTGTATTCATTGTTTGGCTCTACTGTATCTAACTGAAATTTCCATTAACATATCCTATTTACATGTGTGTCTTTTATATAATATTTGAAGAAAACAACAATTAAGTTTTATGCATGTTATTAAAGTCATGTGAAAAGTAGAGTGAAAGCGGTGAAAGCGTTTATTGTTTACAACATAAATGAATATGTGTAAATCACTGAATTGTCCATCATCTACCAAATTTGAAGATATGTATAATTTACCAGTACTTACCCCTGTCCACGTATCAATATTGCTGTAAGAATACTCAATATTTTGACTTAGTGACCCCGGCTGATTGGTGTCCGAATCCATATTGAGCTCACACGTCATGTTGATATGATGGTTAATTGACAGACAACTAGGTCTTAGAAAGCATTCCTTTACACACTGCTTAGTCCCCAGGTTTTCCAGTGTCCTAAATGTGTACCCATCCAGGCGCTGTCCCTTTGCGATGGTACCATGTGCAGAACTGCAATGATTTGTAATCATGTTTCCGGAACGTACCAGCAGACAAAGAACCATTAGATTGTTCCATATGTACCGTTGAAATCTGTATCCGAGCATTTCAATCAACTTCGGATTTGATTAATTCTAGAATATACGTGCGAGTAAGTATCATTTATGATGTTTATCAATATGAGACTTTTATAATAAATACATAAGTATTTGCTTCACCAAAACCGTATAGATAGCTGTTCCAGTTATGGATGGATAGATGTTCAAGTTGTGTAGAAATAGATGATCATGTTGTGTTGGATAGATGTTCACGTTGTGTATGGATAGCTGTTCTTGTTGTGTATGGATAGATGTTCATGTTGTGTATGGATAGATGTTCACGTTGTGTAGGAATAGATGTTCCAGTTGTGTATGGATAGATGTTCCAGTTGTGTATGGGTAGCTGTTCACGTTGTGTATGGATAGATGTTCACGTTGTGTATGGATAGCTGTTCACGTTGTGTATGGATAGATAGTCCAGTTGTGTATGGATAGATGTTCCAGTTGTGTATGGGTAACTGTTCACGTTGTGTATGGATAGATGTCCACGTTGTGTATGGATAGATGGTCTAGTTGTGTATGGATAGATGGTCCAGTTGTGTATGGATAGATGTTCCAGTTGTGTAGGGATAGCTGTTCACGTTGTGTTATATATTTCATGGCTTCCGTAACGCAACTAAGAGTGAAACACCACACAATTAATTCCATTTGATGTGTGGCGCCGTATTAGGAAAGCACTTAATAATTCAGAGTGAGATGCAATAGAGTCAAACAAGAAAATAAACTGCATCATACAGCTGTTGCATATAAGCCCGCTCTTAACTTAGATAATTCAACAGGGAGTAGTGTCATAATAGAGTATAGACCTGGGATTATGTTTAAGAAGCGCGATGATATTCTGGGACCCTTTTACGGCTTGGAAAATATCACTTTGCTTAATATAACTGAGAATGGCGCAATGATATTACAGGGTCCTTTTATTAACGGTAGAACTGGGATGATTTACAATAATACAGCAAAAATATTTGTCGTGATATTTTGGAGTCATTTTTCAGCGTTGAATATGGAACTGGGGTCATATTTATAATGACATAGAAAGAAAGAGAGAGAGAAAGGCGTGTTATGATATTCTTGGGCCCTTTTTCAGCGTTGAATATGGAAACGAGATCATATTTATAATGACATAGAAAGAAAGAAAGAAAGGTGCGTTATGATATTCTTGGGTCCTTTTTTAGCGTTGAATATGAAACTGTGATATAATCCAATAATGAGATACGGTTTGGGGACCTAGGGACAAATATAAATATAGTTACAGGGTGGGAATACCTATTATAACAATTGGAGTAAGACTCAATAGGTCAGTAATGTCCACGGGTAATATCTGGAATCAGAGGGTATTCGTACCTCCGTTTCAACCAAATGTAACTTTAATACAATACAGCTTATTAAAGTGTGGAACATATAATGACATGACACCTGACCTATTAAGCTCACGAAACACTATATATTACGCTATCTATGAGACGATACATCTTGTGAGCTTGGCTAAAATATATTGCAAATTGGGTTCGATCAATAAAACATTATATATTATTATTATTTGGCTTCCATGCATTGTTTAAAATCTTAAAACCTGGACAGTGCTGCCTTATTGTAAAAAGATGAGCCCTGATACCTAAGTAAAAGTCACAAATGATTAACAAATAGTATTTGTCCTTTATACAATTTTAGTCACGTGATGTACAAACCCTATCTGCTAACGTTATTATAGCGCGAGAGTACTGCCCTGTCTTAGTATTTAACTTTAAATTGCCACTACGAAATTTACCTATTACCTGTCGATGTCTTAAATCCATAATGTTAGTTTATTAGTTAGAGCTTATGTTATTGAATAAAACAACAAACACAAGATTGCAGGTTATGGCCATGGTGTTTATTTTGCCAAGGGGCATTAAGATCTGCGCACGGGTGTCAAAGCCCGTACATCAAGCAAGAGGGCGTCAATTACTGCCCACACGTCAATCAGGAAGGGGGTCAAATTACACACTGCCCACACATCAATCAAGAAGGGGGTGCCCACACATCAAATTATCACCCATACATAAATCAAAGGGTCGTCAAGTACGGCCCGACTGGCATCAATACCAGTACAATCAAACATGTATAAAACAATGCAAATAGAGTGAAAATTACCAGTACAGTGGAACAAATATATAACAAAGATACCATTATTCGAAACATTTTGTGATCAAGGGGTGACCAATGATCATCAAATATTTAGTAAATTTAACTTCAATTATAATTCTCTACTGCACTGATGTTAGCGAAGTCCTGCCATTTTAATCAAATACTGAATATATACAAACCAGGAACAGTTTCAACATCTAGAAAGGAACAGTCCATCGATATGTTTTGCCATACTAACTGACAAGCACAAGTTCATAAATGTGTCATCTGCATCACACAACCACTTTCCTTCAATCATGCCAAGGCTTCAACATCGACTCTGGAAGAAAAGTAAACCTGGCACAGAATCTATTCAAAATGAAGGGGTAGGGTGGGAGGGTTTCCCATTGTTCACCGTGACAAAACCGAAATGAAAGGTCGTTTCCGGTCTAAGAGCGCTGAACATTAACGAGTGGATGAAGGGAGGTAACTCGCGTTGGAAATCAAAATTATTAAATAGTTGTTCCTTAGATAACCCAAGTTATTATTAAATGTTAATAACCTGTATTAATGTATGGTTTCCATTTCCCTGTCAATTCCCTGTTATCAATGAAGATTTACTCATCAGTTTTGTTACTTATTGCAAACATTCCCTTAACTTCAAATATGAAACTATTAAATTGTATTTAGCCGGCATACGCTTTCATTATATCAAGAATAAATTTGGTGACCCTCTAGACAAGACTCTCAGATTAACATATATTTTGCGTGCAATTAGAAAGACTAATTCTTCTACTCAACGTCTTCCTATTACGTGTTCTATATTAGCCCAGATGTGTGCAGCTTTTTATACAAGTTGTTTGTACAGTCCTTTCCTTGATCTTATGTTGTTATGCGTTTTTAAAACAGCTTTTTATGTTTGGTGAGTTCACTTGCAAGTCACATACGGACTCCAAGCTTTTACGTTTGTGTGATGTCTAATGACTTGTCTTTTTTCAAGCTTCATTTGCGTACCTCCAAGAATGACCCTTCTGGAAAGGGAGTTACTATAACAATATTTGAAAAGGACATCTTTCCCCGATAGCCACTATGAACACTTATATTAGAAGGAGGATGTCTCTAGATGCCACTCCTTAGTCTCCCTGTTTCTAGATAATTGCTAATAAAGACCTTTAATGCGTCATACTTTTTTGTCCTATTTGAGTGAAACTGTTGCCCGTATTGGCTTAGACGACCATTCTTTTACGGGCCATTCTTTTCGTATAGGCGCAAGTATGCAGCATTTGTAATCCAAAAATGATTGTTTCAATAGATATATTAGAATTAGCCCCATGTCGACCCAGAAAGTTCAAAAGGATATGACTGCCATTCTTAGTTCAGGTGTTTTCATCCAGTAGTTGGTTACTTTCTGGTGTTAGTTTTAGCCCTAATAGTTAAAAGTCTGGTTTTGTTATCTGCTTATAATTATTTTCACTTTTATTTTTCTACATCCATATATGTATTTTACCTACTTCAATCATGTATTGTTAGCTTACATGTATACTATATTGTACAATGTAAACTTAACATTTCACAGCTAATCATGTCATTGATTTCTTATCGCTATCTTTTATAATTCATTGGGGGCGCTCACTCTCATGTGTAACATAATCGTTCCTTATGGGCTATTAAATTCTTGGGAAATTTCACCCACAATCTCATAATGAATAGTCTTGTACAGATATGACTCAGCTTCTCTTATATCACTGAGGGCCTAGCGGGACATGTTCAGCTGCTCTAAGATAATTAAAGGCTTAGCTAGCACAAGAGTATCGTCTATTCGTGAACAGGATATTCTTTACAAGTATGTTTCAAAGCTTCTCTCTAATCATTGAGGGCCTAGCCAGACATAATCAGCTTCTCTCATATCTTTGAGGGCATAGCTGGTGCTTGAGTATAATCTATATTCATTTATCCCGGCTTTCCTATTTTCATCGATAAGCTTCTTCAGTTTTATTAAAAATTTTAATTAATACACTAAGATTGTAGTATACAGTGAGCAGCCCCTAATATGCCAAAATTATCTGTATTCTTTGCATAAGTGGTAAATAAACTATGTACTGTACTCTGTAACGTGCGTTATTTGTATATAAAGTGCGGAATCACAACTGTATCCGTGCTTTGACCCCCAGGATAGGACCCTTCCGGTAGGGGCTGACCCTGGATTAAATTCTGAAGTCATGCGTGTACGTCTCTCCATTCCTCACGAATGCATATGAAGTTATATAATGAAGATCTAAACTGTTTTCACTAGCTGTCCCACGGGCTAATACCCACGGGGCTTGGGGTGACACCAGGGTAAATTCTCAGGTCATCAGTGTGCTCTTCTCCCCATCCCTAAAAAGATATACATAGTTATGCAGTGAAGATCTTAACTGTTTCCATGCGGTGACCTCCATGGCTAAAACCCGAGAGACTAGGAGTATGACTCCCGGGTACAGACCGGTGGGACCAGGGAGAAACCCTGGATCAATTCTGGACGCATGTCGTATATTAATGTGTTATTATGTTTAAGACAATGTTAGAGACATTGAGTTAACTTATCAACAGGGTCCATTTTCAACAAATGGTAAAACTAATTTTAATAAGGTTCCATTTTCCACGGTTAGCCGGTTTCATTTGCAACGTTGAAAATGGACCCTGGGTTCATGATCAATGCAGGTCCAATTCTAACGTTACCTCGACACTGTATCAGTAGGAATCTGGGTTCAGCGCCCAGCTAGGACCCGTAATATTTTTTTTTGATTACCAAATGGAAACATCTCACAAATAATTCCTAGCACACAATTGTCCCACCGTTTAGGCTTATTTCTATTAAATACTTATCTTGACGACTGCGAATTGACTTTTCATGAAAGTATATG